TATCATTAGTATAATCGTAAATTTTTAGCATTTTTTTTTCTTTCTACTATTTGTTGATGTTAAAGCTTCTAAATTCCTTTTTATTTTTTCCTTCTTTTATGTTTGCTTAATTTTATTTAATGCTTTGCTTCTTTGCTTACTTTATTTATTTTTTTGATTTATTGTTTGGCTATATTGGTTGATTGCTGTTGTCTGTTGCTTATAGGTGGAAGAAATCGAGTCGGTGTTGAGTAACGCATACCAAACAGCAATGGCTCATTCCACACCAACAAAACCGTTTTTACCACCAAAGCCTGTAAAGATTGCATCTGTAAAAAACAAATGTGCACTGCTGACAAATTCGGTAACCCCAGTTGGCAGTAGTCCGGTGATCAAAACTGGTGAGACGCCAACAGTGAAATCGTCATCAACGTCGTCAACAAAACCGATGCATTCAACAGCATTTTTGAGTCGGATATTTGGTAGTAAATCACGTGGTGATTTTGATTCCTATGGTGCAGAAAATCCGTCGGTAAAACGTCGACGACGTCCGGTTAGCGCAGTATTCAGTCAGGCATTTCATCGACTATCCACAACATCAATCTACAATAAACGGGTATTTTGTTCATTGTTTGAACTTATAATGTTCTTTCTTTGGTTTTATTGCTGTTTTTTTAAACGTTAATGGTTTATCAGAATGTTATGGAAACCAATTAATTTATACGGTAGTCGTTAAAAGGACGTTATAATTACATTATCACCTGTCAGTTGCGGTAGTTAGGCTTTAATTTTGCATGCTATAAGACGTGTACAGTTATGAAGATATCAACTGTTAACAGATGGATCAGTTGCTGTTTTTGATTTGATGATGTTGATTGTATATTAACCTTTTTTCAACAGTTGAACAGTACAGGATTGGGCAGATGGATGAAATTGTGAAAAACTATATATGTTTTTTCATAGGAAATTAATCGGAAGAAAAAAAAAAGTTTTATTAAAAACAATTTGGAAAGTTTAATTTTTTTAATTCCTTAGTAATTTAAATCTTTTTCTCTCGTTTTTTAAATAATCTGATGTTTATCTGTTATCGAGTTGAAAAGGTACATTTAAAACATTTCAATGTACATACTGATGGTTGAGAGCAGTGTAGACGAAAAGAAATTTTTTTTCAAAGTTTAATCATCATTTGTCGCCAGTTAATTGCTGCTGAGAAAAAAAAAAAGAAAAAATTTTTATTGCTCATTATTTCTGCACCAACAATTTACCCTATTCCGTTGTCGTTGTTGACAGTATCTTAAAAATTTTCGAAACAGATAACTTTTTTTTTTTGTCTTCTTTTTTTTGATCTCTCCGCAAAAATTCTGTCATAATTCGGAGGCGATAATTTGTTTGTTGCTACCTACAAGTGTTTCTGCTGATGTAGACAGAAAGAATACAGTCGAACGGTATTCACCCTTTTCAATTTTATGCTTTCAAATAGTCTATTTGTGAGTTAATGTTGTTATCCTCTCTGGGTGAGATACTATGAGGACAGAATGTGATATGTGAACTTGGTTAAGAGAAAGGGACGCAGGAGTGACGGGCGATTAAGTATATGGTGTTTCTAACAGGAAGATAACACTTCAAGAATCCTCTGATGACAACCATAATTTTAGAAAAGTTTTTATGCCTTTTTTATTTTTGTTTTTACTTTAATTTATTTTATTTCTTTATTTATTTACTTTTTTGATTGATACCTTACGACTTTTGTTGATGGACTGAAGAAACATTTTTGACCTTAAAAACTTAATTTATGTGTAAGGGTTTATTTTTATCTTTGATACGATAAGTTCATAAAAGATAAAGGGGAAGAAAATTGTCTCTTAAGTACTTGCGTGTGTCTGTGTCTAAATTTATGAGCCTATGCTGTTTTGGTTGTTAAGGATATATATATATATATATATATATATATATATATATATACTTTTTTTTGGAAAGAAATTGGGTAAGCAATAGTTGGTGCTATGATCGGTTGTTGGAGGAGAAGGAGAGACTTAGTGGGAAAAAGACCTTGAAAAAACTATTTAAGATTTGTTACCAAACGGATTAATCTTTGTTAATGACCTAAACATACGATAAAATATCAGTGCTTTAATACTCTTCTTTCTCCTGGCTTCTACTGCTACTGTTACTGTTACTGCTACCGTTGGTAGTAGTGGTAGAGGTACTAAATCTGTTAGTGCTGTTGCTGCTCCTGCCTTTACTGACTTCTCTAAAACGATGGACATGATTACGTTTTTTGCTGTAGAAACATACAGATAAATACACAAAAAAAGTGTACCAGCAAGAGCAGTAGTCGAAGAAAACAAAAGGAAAGTATAATAATGGAACAGCTGTTTTGACGAATTAAAAAAAAGAAAAAGAAAAAGATAAAAAACCAAACGTTAATCTTCTTATTGAAGCCATACGAAAAAAAAACAACGGTTACTAAAAAAGTCACTGGATTTGTCGTGGTGGAAATCTGATTAGTTTGATGAATTAGGAGACTTTTAAAAAGTCTTGTTGAAGGATTAAGTAAAAAGAGCTTTATCGTCACGGTTTTCTTCTTTTTGGAGGGCAGCGAATACTAATATTTTATTTTTGCACCTGATCATTTTTTCAGCAGCTCTTAATTAAGCTAAGAAACTGAAGAGAAGATAGACAAAGTTGTTTTTTTTTTCACATTTTACTAAACATAATAGTATGTGTTATTAATGGGCTTTAACTGTTGGAGGCCACATTGTTCCTTACCGTTTCCAATTTTGGGCACTTTTTGAATTGGACTCAATGGTTATGGGTCGGGTCTGTATCTTGTGGAATGGTGAATTGGCTATTGTGGATGGGATTTTTTATATGTTAGTATGGTGAAATTTTTTTGTTTGCTGACGCTGAAAAGCTAGTTTAGATTTTCAAGGCATTAATATCATAACTGAAATTAAAAATATGTATTAAATGCAGGTTTCTTTCAGACGTTACTGTTGCAAAAATGTTACCTGCGGAAGAGGCTTTTAATGGTACTTTTTCTCTAAGAACTGTAGAAAGATTTGAGTACTATAAGATGATTCTGAGATTTTCGAAATGCACTTCGGAAATATTAAGATGCTGAGACTGTGGATGTTTTCGGCTACAGAAAACTGCGATTTTACGGCTTTGAGAATTGCGAGTGTTACGACTCCAGGGCTACAGTATCCGCTGGTCGTTGGTGCCAATAGTGAACAGCGGTTTATGGGCAGGCTATTTACCAGTCTGAGTGGTGGTGATGGTGGTAAGTGGTGAGATTTTAAACAAATGCTTCAGCTGCCGTAATATCTGTCGGTCGATGGCGTTTATTCTGTTTGATCTAGTCTTTTCAAACGCTTCTGTCTGTATCAGTTGTTAGGAAGCAAAAAAAAAAAAAAATTAATTCTTCCAGAACGCATTTTTAAGTTATAAGGAGGAAAAAAAAGAGAAAGTGGGAGAAGAAAGCGAAGTTTTCTCTTTTTGGTCACGCAAATTGCGTAATGCCGCAAGAAGTGGAGGTTACGTTATTAATCCAGTGCTGAAGTTTGTTTATATGATGTCGTTGATGACTGTGTTCTATACATACATTTGCGTGTGTGTGTCTGTTTTTATGAGTAAAAAACGAGAACCATAACAAAAAAGGGACAGTAAAAAGCGAAAAAAACGCAGATGCTTTGAAAAAAAAAAAAGAGAAAAAAGAAGTCGGAAATTTTTTTTAATGTCAGAATATTGTTGAGTAATTTCTTTTTATTTATTTTCTTCTGTTCTCCAATCCTTCCTTTTAACTTTTCTCTTTGAATGGATTCAACAATTTTTGTGAGATCCACATTAGGCATTTGATTGCTGCAGAAGTGTGTGCCTACATATACAGTTTATTATAACACCAAAGGTAGAGGGGGCTGAATGGAGAGGAGAAAAACGAGAGGAAACTTAAAAGATAGATTGATGTAAAGGGCCAAAGGAAACAATTCTGTTTCATCATTTTTACTTAAATGGGCGACAAATTTCTGTAGACTGGGGTCCATTGAAAAACTGCAGCAAATAAACACTGCCGATCAAACACGGCAAACTTCAAGAAAAGATAGGGCAGTTACTTGGCATCCAATCGTTATTAAGGGTTTGGTTGAAAAAGAAAAAAAAATAAAAAAAGAGGAAATTTAATCCATCTTAATTTGTTTTTAAATGTTTTTTTTTTTTTTTTTTTTTT